CAAATACTCGCTCTACGTCGACTCTTGGAACATCACCACAAGTTTCACCTACAACAGTCTGCTTTATTGATTTCCGTGCGGTATTCGACTCCATAGATCGTGAATCCCTCTGTAACATAGTTCTGGCCGATGGTTTCCCAGTCAAACTTGTCAATTTAATGATATCCTACTATTCTAACACTAGCGCCCGAATCCGTATCTACGGAAAGGAATCTTGCCCGTTCGGGTTAGGATCTGGAGTGTAACAGGGGTCCCCATTGTCCACGACGGTGTTCAACTTTGCCACTGATTGGATGGGTCGTTCGATGGAAGGATACCAGGGAGTTCAGCTCTCTTCGAACTTATGGCTCTCCGACTTAGAACTCGTGGATGATATTGTCATCTTTGGCGAGGACATGGCTAACCTCCTAGTAATCGTTGACCGCATCAGTCGACAGGCCTCCGAGATAGGCCTAGAGGTGAACACATCAAAAACCAAAACCTCTACGAAAGTCCCGATTCATCCCGAAAATGCTTTACTACTAAACGGCGAGTGGATCGAATCCGTCGAAAGCTTCAAATACTTGGGTTCAACCATTCTCCGCAACGGCCAAGCTAAAGACGAGGGGCAAATGCGCGTCGATGCTGCAAGAAGGGTGTTTTTACAGTTGAAGAATCCCGTTTGGCACAGAAATGAAACCAGCCTCAAAACAAAAATCCCAGTTTTTTCCGCAGCAGTCCATACCGTCTTGCTATACGGCTGCGAAACCTGGCCACTAAGAGTCGAAGACTATCAAAGATTAGAAGTCTTAGATCACTGGTGCTTAAGAATCATTCTAGGAGTACGATGGAGGGATCCATTCTTAAATGAAGCGGTCAGAAATCGGTGTTTTAATCTTGTATGGCTGATGACGCTAATGCAACGGCGGCGACTACAGTGGTTTAGCCACATTTTTCGTAAGTCCGATAACGACATGACAAAAGCTGTCTTGGCACCGCCTCCCTGCCCGAACTGGCGCTGTCAGTACGGTGGACTGCTGAAAACCTGGCTTGACACAGAGTTCGCCAATGTAAATCAAGCTGGGTCATAATCTGCGTTGATCTTGCCGCATATAGCCGAGCGTGGGCAGCGGCAATTCGAGATATCCATGAAGCCGACTTATCCCCTCCCAGGAGCCAGCCGCCGTAGAGCAAAGCAAAGTAAGTAACCCTGTGGTCCTCTGTACCTAACTACTTTGAACCCATTTTAATATTCCAGGTTTTTCACCGATGTCGTTTGTGTAAGGGGATAGAACCACTGCCACCCTCTACCATTGCCAAGTCAAACGACATTCGTAAAAACTTCCCATAAACAACGTGGAAAACAGTGTTCTCAAAGAAATTTCTTTTCGATATATCGCACCAGGAGGTGACGTATCCAAGATGAACATTGTACCGATATCTGATAGGCTGATTACAGCTCAGTTTATAACGGTGATAGAGGCAAGCAAGAGAATGTGATAAGAAAACACAGTGTAGGCGAACATTAGTTTTCGGTGAATTCATTTTCAAGTCTTTACAATCACATTAATATGAAACAATCCCAAAAGCGGTCAAAAAGAAAGGTGGACGAGTCATGTGTTTGTACATGAGCCCGAGAGAACTCTAAATTTGTACGCTGTTTGTTTGGATTACGTAACCAAAGGTCAAGATGATATGGACAAGCGACCTTTTCTTCC